TGTTAAGGCCATCCCATTTGTGGTATATTTCTTGTCAGAGCAGCACTAGGTAACCAGAAGAACTTCCTAAGACAGTAATGTATTGAAAAGCACTTTTACTGACCAGAAGCCTACACTAACCACAAAGAAGGTAGGATGTCAAGGACAGTGATACAGTTAAAAACACACCTCTGCCTTGAAAGCATGGTCAATGAAAAATTTACTTACCTTTACACCATATTTAACTTTCCCCGCATAATGATTTATGATGAAAGCAGGCTCCATCACAGCTGGAAATTCAATGTAAGAATTTTCTTCATGCTGATGCTTAAATTTGTCTAGCAATGTTTGATTTGTAGCCTGTGGAAAGCTGAATTTTAAAAAGTTAAAAAGTGATAATACTAAAGAAAGACATAGCAACTACTGCAGTCTTTTAAAGTAGCTTATAGTTACAGTGCCATCTAACACACTTAGCCATTTTCAACGAGCTTTCATCTATATAATCTAATCTAATTTTCAGATTAAAAAATGAATATAACAATTATTGGATTGGATCGAAAGTTATGACTTGCCCAAACTCACACTCTGCAAGTAGAAGAACTGAGAATGTAACTCGGGTCTTCATTTAAATTAGGATGCACTGTGCTACACTACTGCAAAATCCAAAGGAAAATAAAAACCAAATCAGATTTTGTTTGGGGCCTAGAATTTACAAAAAGGAAACAATTCCTCAATTTGGATAGATATTTAAAATTAATAGTCATTCTTTACTTCCTTATTTCTCCAGATATAAATTCAGAATTGTCTTAGTGATACCAATTACTACATATTTTTATAGACTGTATATTATCACTTCAAATATACAACAATGGGCTTGTATTCACTGATGAAAGCTTCATATCCAGGAATGACTCAGATAACATTTATCAGGAATTAACTGCATAAAAGGAAATGTGGAGATATAAAATTTAGAGGAGAAAAAAAATCACTAGTTGTTGGGAATAATAATTGAAGGGTTTGCAGAGGGCACAGGAGGCAGTACACAAGATAGACATTAAAGGCTGTGTGTTGTTGCTGTTATGTGCCGTCAAGTCAGACCCGACTCACAGCAACCCCTCCTTGGGTTTCCGAGGCAATATCACTACAGAAGTAGATTGCCCTATCTTCCTTCCGAGGAGTGGCTGTGTAGAAGTTTCAAATAAAGGAAATATACAAAAGGGAGAGCAAGTGTCTTTCAGGGAATATTTTTGTTTAACTGTAGCTAAAATAATAAGAACTGAAGAACTGATGAGACATGAAGTTGTAAAAATGTTGAATACTAGATGTACTATTCAAAAATGACTCCAAAATTATAACAATGGTTAATTACATAGTATATGTTGGAATCAATGAGGAAAAAGAATAGTTTCTGGTGTCAGATAGTCACAGTTGAGATGATTAGGTCTCTGACCTTGGGCAAACTAAGCAACTTTTTTGAGAACTTGTTTCCTAATCCATAAAATGGGTACTTTATCAAGTATCACAATGCTGGGAGAGCTCTGGTGGTGCAGTGGTTAAAACATTAGCTGCTAACCAAAAGTTCAATATTTTGAGCCCATAAAGATTTACAGCCTTGGAATCCCTATGTGGCAGTTCTACTTTGTCTGGTAGGGTTACCATGAGTCAGAATCAACTTGATGACAGTGGATTTAGTTTTAGTGAAAACATCTAACAGCAGGTGGCACCCTATAGGGATTTCAAACATGTTATTCCCGTAATCATCTAGGCCTGCAATTGCAATCAAATGTCTTCCTCAAAATACTTCCTTCATCTAGGTGTTCCTTTCCATTTTGGAACTCTAAACCACTCAGAATGGATTATTACAACTCTTACAACCTGAAACAGAGACTACAGCAACAGTCTTTGACTAGTCTCTCTGATTCTAATCTGACCTTATTTTCAGTCATCAAAATATTTATCAAAATAAACTTTACTACAATAATGCTTAAATCACGTCACTCCTCTACTCAAAAAAATCATGAATCACCAAGGCCGTAAGACTGACTTGAAGCTCCTAAATCTAGGCCAACGCAATGTCTGCAAGTGCATGTCCCACTACTACACAGCAGAATTCTTCTCTCAAGCAGTATGCTCACCTCATTGCCTCTAAGCAAGGTTTTACTTACCTTCCAATTTACACCTCTGTAATCAAAAAGCATGTGATTTATTTTTCCCTTACTTTTTAATGGAGAACAGAAATTGCCAAAGGAAGAAAGCTAGAAATGAGAACACCCTTTACTCCAAATTAGGAATGACAGAAAGGAATACGGTCCTGTATTCATCATTCATTCATTTGTGGATAATAGCAAGCAAAAGAGTTTGGAACCAAGAGGCAAATCAGACAGTACTGTTTATTTCAAAGTTCTCAATCTAGCCCAAAAGCTATCTGCAAGGATAGCATAAGATCAGTGTTTCTAAGGATGTAAGAGGTACCTTTGGAGCTTTCAAAAACAGCAATACCTGGACCCCAAATCCTGTGATTTAGATTTAATTGGTCAGGGTGGTGACTTAGCACCAGTACTATTTATAAACTCCCCAAGTAATTCTTATATGCAGGCAAGATTGACACATGCTTCCCTAAATAAATGCTTTGTTGCTGTTGTTGTCATGTGCCGTCGAGTCAGACCCAACTCACAGTGACCCCTCCTTGGGTTTCTGAGGCAGTATCACTACGGAAGTAGATTGCCCAACCTTCCTTCCAAGGAGTGGCTGGTGGGTCTGAACCACCAACCTTCTGGTTAGCAGTCAAGTGAAGTCCCTTAGGCACTACCAGAGCTACCAGAGCTTTAGTCTGTGTTAAAATGCAGATTCTGATTCAATAAGTCTGGGTTGGAAGCCTCAGAATATGCATTTTCAACAAGCTTCAAGGTGCTGCCAGTACTGCTGTCTGTAGCTCAGACTTTGCATACCACAGGAAACACTGATTTTTGGCTTATGTAACCTAACACCTTACTCATACCTAATTCTGAGATTCTGTGTACACTATTCCTACTTCCTACATGCCACACAGCATCCTTCAGAATCTAGTTTAAACAACAATATCCAAGGTCACACACCAGTAAGTAGCACAGATGAGATTAACCAAGGTTTCTGACTTAAAACTCATGCATCTAAAGCACTACAGATACTTGAATGAAGCAGGAATACCATTAAAGATTATCTCACACTATATGTAATCTATAAAACAAAATATTTCTTTAGAGGAAAAAGTCAGGCTAAGTGAGTCCTAAAATAACTCTTCCTAAATATTACTAATTTTTTTTTCAATCCTACTTTACAGGTAAATAGCAGAGGAAAAATATTTCATGTTTTCATGCATCTTCTGGAATGTTAAGGCATAGTGACAAAAGTGGTCAATTTACAAGAGGAGACTATAACTACAGAACTGACTTAAAGAGAAGAAACTAATATTAATATTTATTTTAAAATTTATATGGAAGACTGAATATAGAAATTGAATTGAAGAGCTGAACAAGTTATCCAATCCAGGCAACTACCTACAACAGTATCTGGCATATGATGCAAAATAACACTGTGATAGGGAATTCATTACTTTAGGAAACAGATGCTAATCAGTCATGTGAAACAACAGTACTTAGTTCAAACCATAAGCTTAAAAGTCATAAAAATACTTGGGTAGTTTGAATGTCAAATCCATCATTTACTACCTATATGTATTTTTTCTTAAATGTTGTTGTTGTTGTTGTTATGTGCCGTGAGTCGGACCCGACTCATAGTGACCCCTCCTTGGGTTTCTAAGGCAGTATCACTATGGAAGTAGATTGCCCAACCTTCCTTCTGAGGAGTGGCTGAGGGGTTTGACCCGCCAGCCTTCTGGTTAGCAGTCAAGTGCCTTAGGCACTATGCTACCAGACTCCTTTTTCTTAAATAGCTTAAACATTTTTATTCTTCATGTAAGTATAAAATAAATCAAACAAAAAAGAACTACTAATCATTTGCATATGAACAACAATCGTTCTCAAAACTAAGTATCAGAATCATCTATAAAGCATTCCAAACAAACGGTATCTGAGCTCCATCCCAGATCTACTCATTAATGGTTTTCTACGCAAGCAGAGATAAGGACCGCTAACCCTACAACTTTATAAGAGATAATATTTGTCCAAGACACACAAATAGAAGAAACTTTTACACATCTACGGATAAAAAATTAAAATACTTTTTATTTGTGCTAATACATTTAGATTATGAATGAAAGCTAGTCAAAATAGTGAGAGAGTAGGTAGTATGGATATTAGAACTGTTGGCAATCGTCTTTTGAATATATTTTTCATTCTGCCAATATTCCTTTCTATTTATATGTAGCAATTTTGTGTGTTTATGGCTATGAACATGGTGACAAATAATTTACCATACAAACCAGAGTATTTCAGAGAGGAAAATGAAACAGGCATAAATTTTTTTTTTTTGGGGGGGGGCCACACAAACTAAAGTTTATTAAAGAGACAAGAGGCTGGTGAGGGAGAGACAGAGAAGGGCTCTCACCTATGCTAGCCTCCGGTCTCTCCCACACATAAACTTTAGACTATTGCACTCTAAATCTAGGGTCTAGATGGACACCCTGCCTAAGATAAGAAATTCCCAATATCACCTATCCTACTTTAAGTGGTAAAATATTACGTAATAAATCAAGTGACCTAATATAATTTCTACCTTTTTTTTTTTTTTTTTTTTTTACTAATTAGTCACAGAAAACCTATATATCCTCCACCATTTGTCTTTCCAATTCTAGAGTTTCTATCTCTTAGGATTAGTTAACTATAAATATTTTATAGAGTATTGAAAGCACTTTGATGGATGCTACAGAAAGCTTTATTTCTAAAGTTTACATTTAAGTTTGATATACTGAATGGTGTTAACAAAGAATGGCAACTAATTGACATTTTGACACCACCTGCACAGCTAGGATAGACTTCACTAATCTACTGTGCTTGGAAGGAAGGCTGGGCAATATACTTCCGTAGTGGTATCGCCTTGGAAATCCAAGGAGGGGTTGCTGAGTCAGATCCGACTTGATAGCACATAAAAACAACAACAACAATCTACTGTGAAATTTTTTTCTAATGAAAATGTAAACTGCTACCACATCATATATAAAAATCAATTCAAAAAGAGAATATGTAAAAATGAACTATACACACACACACACACCCCAACAAATTTAACATTAAAGTGTAAAAGAGAAATAAAGAAAAACAAGGAAAAAATGAGTTCAATAGTGAAGTTCGTTCTACTTACCAAGAACCACTCAAAAAAGGGAACCTTCGGCTCTTTATTTGATAATATAAAAAGAAAGCTTAAGACTTACAAAGACACAAAAAGCCCAAATGGCAAATAACACAATTAAAAAGAAATCATACTCACTTGCTTTCCTCATCTAAAAGATGGAGCAGTCCTGTTGGTTTCTTGCTAATAAGGTTTATACAACAGGTATTATCAATATAATCTATATTGTGCCAGCTGATATCTTCAGTTCTATATTCCTCCTAGGAAACCAAATAGCAAAATAGCAATTTATTCAACTTGTAGAAAATAACAGTTATATAATAATAAGGATTGAAAAGCTCTGATCAGGTGTTAGGAATTGAGTTATGTCCTGAAAAAAATGTGTGTTGTAAATCCTAACCTCTGTTAACTGTGGTTATAATCCCATTTGGGAAAGGTTTGTCTTTGTTGTATTGATGAAGTAGAATTAGTATAGGATGTATCTTGAGTCAATGGCTTTTGAGATAAACTCAAGCTCCCAAGAGAGATGGGGTAGAACAGATGCCAAGGCATATGGAAATTTCGAAGGAAGCAAGAAACTGGAACTAAAGAGACAAGGATCTTCTTCTAGAGCCAATAGAGAAAAAGCCTTCCCCTAGAGCCGGCACCCTGAATTCAGACTTCTAGCCTCCCGAACTATAAAAAAAAATAAATTTGTTTGTTAAAACTATTCAATACTAGATAAGGGAGAATTTGGTAGTGTTGCTCTAACCTAAAATGTGAAAGTGGTTTTGGAACTGAATAATGTAGAGAGACCAGAAGAGTTTTAAAGTGCCTAATAGTAAAAGCCTAGATTGCCTTGAAGAAACTGTTGGTAGAATTATGGATGTCAAAGGCATTTCTGGTCAGGGCTTAGAAGGAACTGAGGAGAGCATAAAGAAAAGCTCTATCATATTAGAGAATACATATGGCAACAGCAACAGAATGTTGCTAGAAATGTGGATGTTAAATGTGCTTCTGGTAAGGTTTTAAAAGAAAATAATAAATATGAGATGGGACAATAGAGGAAGGGTGATGCTTTTTATGCAGTCACAAAGAACTGGTCTGAATTACATTCAAAGGTTTGTTCAAGGTAGAACTTGTAAGTGATTAACTTGGATATCCATCTGATTCGATTTCCAAGCAGGATCTTAAAGGGGCCACATGGTTTCTCCTTGCCACTTAAAATAAAAATCAAGAGAAGAAATGGACTCAAAAATGAACTGTGCAAAACGAAAACAGAATTTAAAGATTTGGAAAATTCCATTATACACACTAAGGATGTTCACAAGGACACAGCTACACAATCTTTTGTTAAAGAGATTTAAGCTGCAACTGATGGATATAACCAATTACTACAGTAGAAAACGAATCATCTCAGCCTGAGAAAGAATGAAAGGAAAGAACACTGGAGCTTGAAATTCTACAGGCAGGTAACAAGCCAAAGAAGATGCATCTGTAGTTCTCCAGGAAAAGAAAAGGACCATCTCTGGAGGAGTCTGGAGATCAGTAGCACTGTTGGTAGGAGCAGGGCAAGCAGGGCCTTCTTGGTTTCAGAGGATGGGGCCATGGTCTCGTGCACGTCAAAGAGTATGGCCACAATCCCCTAGGTTTCAGAGTCTGATCGTACCCACTCAGCTCTGTAGTGTGGGGCTGGCATTATGGTATGCCAGGGGAATGGGGCCACTACCCAATGCTGAGACAGTAGAATTGACATGTGCAAGGGGCAGAAGAACAAGGCCTGCTGGAGAAAAGGGAAAGGGGTTGCCATTCAGAAGAATTAGCAGAGTGGGGCCACCCAAAGCAGAAGGAGCCGAATTGCTTGCGTAGTGGGTGGGAAAAGCAGAGCTGAGGCTCTACTTTTCAAGGCTTGGGGTCTCAACAGAGAATCCGGAGGGTAGGGCTAACATCCAGAGCCTGAAGGGCAGAGGCACTGCCCAGATGATCTCACAAAAGAGGATTACTTTCAAGGCTTCAGAGGTAATGGAATTTTTCTACTGGATTTTGGACTTGCTTGGTACCCATTATCCCTTCTTTCCCTCCAATTTCTCCAATTTGTAATGCAAATGTCTACCTTGTACCTGTTCTACTACTGTACTGTGGAAGCAGAGAACTTGTATTCTAGATTTCACATATTCATTGATGAAGAGGAATTTTGCCCTAGGATGGAATACTCCTAAAGTGTAAACTATATTTGACTTAGTTGACTCAGAAGATGAGATTTTAGACTTCTAATAGATTTAAGACTTTGGGAAGGATGTGATGTGGTGAAATATGTTTTTGCATATGGTTAAGGACATGAATTTGGAGAGGGGAGGGAGGCAAAGGATGGAATGTTATGTACCAAATTGTGTCCCCCCAAAATGTATTATAAATCCTAACCCCTATGCCTATGGTTATAATCCAATTTGAGAATGGGTTGCCTGTTATATTAATGAGGCAGGTTAGCACAGGGTGTGCTTCAATAAACCTCTTTTGAGATATAAAAGAGGTCAAACAAGCAAGTGAGAAGCAGAGAGTGGGGAAGAGAGATGCCAAAGCATATGAAGTTCTCCTAGGAGTAGAAGCTTAGAAGAGACAAAGACCTTCCTCCAGAGCTGACACACAGAGAAAAGTCATCTTCTAGAGCCACTGAACTCAGACTTCTAGCTCCTAAACTGTGAGATAATGAATTTGTTTATTAAAGCTACCTACTTGAGGTATTTGTTATAGTGTTATAGTTATATTAGACAACTAAGCCTCCAAAGAGGTTTAGGAGAATAGTCTACACTTTTA